CTGTAATGTATCTGTGAAGATCTATCAAAATGCGAGAAGCTTGAAATTGAAATCTCCGAAATGCGCAACATGGGAACATCAATAATTACAGTTGTAGTTGGATTGATTGGAAAAAAAGATTCTAATAGACTCATTGAAAGCTTTCCTGGTAGTCTAGGCCTTAAAGAAATATAAAAAATTGTTCTCACGAGTACAGGCCACAGCTTACGTAGGGCTTTATTTATGTAAAATATGTGCGATTTCTTTTCAAAATTGCTCATTGATGCCATTTCTGACCTTAGATATCTAGTCAGGACCGGGAAAGAAATGTATACACACCAGAAATCAAAAGATATAAAATAATAATAATAATAATAATAAAGGCCTCTTCAATATTGTAAAATACTTCAGTGACGACATAGGTATGGACTTTGGATTAGATAAATGTGCAAAAGTAACTTTCAAGAAAGGTAGAATTACAGAAACACCCTTAATAGATTTAGATTTTGTCACAAAGATTAGGGAACTGGAGCATGATGAAGCTTATAAGTACCTAGGAATTAGCGAAGGAGATGGCATACAACACCCCCAAATGAAGGAAAAATAAGAAAAAAAGAGTACTACAGGCGTGTACGTCTGGTACTAAATACTGAGCTAAACACAAAAACAGGATATCAGCCATAAACACATTGGCTGTCCCTGTGGTGCAATACAGCTTTAATGTCCTTAACTGGACCATAGCTGAAATTAAGCGAATGGACGCCAAAACGAGAAAGCTTCTCACTTGCTATCGCATGCATCATCCCAAAGCTGATGTCGATCGTCTGTATGTGCCCAGATCCGAAGGAGGCAGAGGATTAGTTCAACTAGAACTGTCCTACAAAACTACAACAATTGGCCTCCAAAGATACTTGGAAACTACAGAAAACTGGATGATGGTATGCGTCAAGGAACATGAAAGTACTAAGCGTCTTTACTCCGTAATGAAAGAAGCCAACAAATTCAAAATGGAGTTTCTAATGGGCGTAGAGATGCAACTACAGCACAATACACCGGCTGAAACTGCAAAATACCTAAAAAAGACAGCAAAGACGAATGCAACCGCCCAGATACAGAGGCGATGGCAAGATAAACCGCTTCATGGCCAATACTCTGCCCGTACCAAACAAGCTGACGTAGACAAAACCCGTACCCATCAGTGGCTACGTAGTGCAAGGTTGAAAGCGGAAACTGAAGGTTTTATCCTTGCTGCGCAGGACTAATGCTTGCTAACTAGGAATTATCAAGCACATATACTAAAATATTGTGTCAGCCTAAAATGCAGATTCTGTGATAAATATCCAGAAACGATTGATCATCTTGTATCAGGTTGCACGATGTTGACACCTACTGAATATAAAACCCGACATGACAGAGTGGACCAATATCTGCACTGGAAAATCTGCAACTTCTACGGGAAGGAAACTGAAAGAAACTGGTATGAACACCACCCAGACCCGGTTACGGAGATAGGACCTGTTACAATTCTATGGGACTACACAATACACACTAACAGAACAATCAAGGCCAACTGGCCAGATGTTGTTATTAAAGACCACAAACAAAAAGGTGCCTCCTTATTGATATGGCAGTCCCTGCTGATTACAATGTATCTTTAAAGATATTCAAAAAGTTGTCAAAGTACAAGTACCTTGAAATAGAAATCTCGAAAATGTGGCATATGGGAATATCAACAATCCCTGTTGTAGTTGGAGCTCTAGGATTGGTTGGAAAAGATTCCAGTAGACTAATTGAAGGGATTCCTGGAAGTCCATGCCTCAAAGAGATACAAAAAATTGTTCTGACAAGTACAGCCCACACCTTACGAAGGGCTTTATCTATGTAATTTAACTTTTTTTTGTCAGTGAAAAGTGTCATGACGCCATTTCTAACCTTAGGTCCCTGGGCGGGACCCGGAAAGAAATGTGTAAACGCCAGAAATCAAAGAAAATAAAAGTAATAATAATGATATAAGGACCTTGATATCGAAATGTGGTATGAGAACATCAAAAAACCCTGTCGTAGTTGGAACCCTCGGATTGGTTGGAAAAAATTCCAATTGACTCATTAGAGGGATTCCTGGTAGTCTATGCCTTAAAGAAATACAAAAAAAGTTCTCACGAGTACAGCCCACACCTTACGAAGGCCTTTATATATGTAAAAAGATTTTTTTTCGAAATTGCTCAGTGGAAAATGTCAGGATGCCATTTCTGACCTTAGGTATCTGGTTGGGACCCGGAGAGAAATAGAAAGAAATAATAATAATAATAATAATAATAATAATAATAATAATAATAATACAACTAAAAATATAAAGGAACATGATGAAAACTTACCATGTTTTCCTGCTAACCTGAAAACAAAACAAAAAAAAAAACAAAAAACAATTGTTTCATTTTCTGTATTTATATTACTTTCCATCTGATTGTCTCCATTTTTATAAAATTTTGCAACTTCTTTATTAGTTAATTTATTGCCTGTATTACTTTCTATTCTATAAATATTTCTAGATTGACCCGCTTGCGTAAATATTTATTAATTAATTTTCTTTAAAACCCTTTTTAAGTTTCATTTGGAATTATTTATTTGCTTTTTAAATTTTGAAATAATTCTAATATTCACACATTCATTTTCAAATGCTATACGTTCATGATGTCGTCGTTTTCATGGTTTGTAAGGCAATATTTCTTTTTTGTAAGGCAATGCTTTTTTCTGTATAACATATAAATGAATAAATAAAACAAAATCATATAATAAAAGAAAAACACTATAGCGAAAAAATTTTCATAATATAAACTATAATATCTGTATATAGCTCTTAGATGATGTATTATGATTACTTGCATTATGTACATTATTCGGACTGTTATCCTCATTTTCATTGCATATTCACAACGTTTCGGCCTCTATATCTCTGAGATGCTGTATTATGATTACTTGCATTATTTATATTATTCGGACTGTTATTCACAACGTTTCGGCCGTTGTATGCTTCGGACCTTTTCAGTTGATTGGAATTTCGACCCGAACCCTTTATTTCGCCAACCGGGGTACATTGTTCTAGTTCCACGTGCCATGTCTCTTCCGGATGTGTCAGTTATTTCCCTTTAACTCAACTTTCCCAGTTTTGGTTCACCACTGCTGTAGCCTGATATTGAACTCACAACTCTTTGGGCCTAGTCACTGGATTTAACCAGTATAGGGTTCGGTTCGAAATTCCAATCTCCTGAAGAAGAACGGAGCGTACAACGGCCGAAACGTATAATAATTGCAATTTGAAAAGGCAACGTTTGAAAATGTTGGCGTTCCCACGTGTTTGAAATGAAATGAAGTTGAATAACCTGGACAACGTTCATAAAAAGATAATGTAACCCCCACCCACAAAAAGTATAATTTATATCTATAATTCTCAAAACGTGTGTGTGTGTGTGTGTGTGTGTGTGTGTGATCGGATGTTGTTTATGTGTTTCCACAGTTTTCATCCAATTTCGCTGAAAATTTTTGTTTGATAGATAATTCTTCAGTGCCGGTTTTGAGTTCAAATTGGCTGGAAAAAATCGAAAAAACTGATTTTTTTACACTTTGTGCAAAAATCAAAGGCAAAATTTAATGTCTGTAAAAAACAGCGTCCAATCAACTTAGAGAGTTGAAATCTAACTCAAAAGATTATTAGAATTATAAAAAACAAATATTATAAATAAAAATTATCGTATATTATTATTATGACGGTCCATGGAAGAGGTTCTGAGAACGCAAAAACGGCCATTTTCAGGGCCACACCCTATTCAAATTGTTACCCCACCATTTTGGCATGTGCCTCAGTTGCACCCAATTGTTGTTACTAATATTGATTTCAGGATGGACTGACTTTAAACTTACACTGTTCCAAGTGAACAGCAAAAATTCCAAGTAATGAAGCACCCGGTCGAAGACGGCTTATACAGCTAGTATACAATATATACATGTAAAAAAAAAATTAAATAAATTTAATTAAAATAAACAATAGAAAAATTAAGTAAATAAACATTATATATACCGTCTATACACGCGAATCATGCGACTATTGAAGACCCAATTTTGAAGCTAATTTTAAGGGGGTCGCATCATACACGCGAGGTTAAATTAGCGTATGCGCTACACCGTTGACCAAAACTATATATCCATTTACTGTAATCAAATTAGCTTCCAAATTAAACCTTCAACAGCCGTATGATACCCGAGGATATACAGTATATTACGATAAATATTTCTTGATAATATTTACAGAATTTGTCTTAATATCTTATAAATACACAATTGAAACTATAAAATTGGTAAACTTGTATTATTATAAGATTCTATAGGGCATAAAGTGGGGGATAGGTTTTCTTTAGTTATTAAGTAATAAACTGATCCCCCAGATACATAACTGAAACTATAATAGAAAACTCTTAACAAACTATGTCCCGTCCTGGATAAGACGATAAACTACATCCAACAGCAAGGCCACTGATCAAGAGGTTTTGAGGAGTGTGGAACCACCTCTTAATTGCTGGTGTTCCCAGGTCCACCCTGATTCGGGGTGGTAGCACCTGTTAGGGTCCTAGCTATTGGTAAATATTTAACCCTCTAACTGGGGTCAAAACACTATAAGAGTGTAAAAATAGATTTTAATACCAGAAATACTTTGTAAAAAACAAAAATTATTACCACCAAAATATTTTTAAAAAAATATTATAGTTTATTTTGGAAAATAAAAATATTACAAGCAATAAAAATCTTGTCGGCATTAAATAACCCATTGAGGTGTTGATATGCCGTAAAACAAACCAAACCAAACCAATCCAAAATATGTATCTGCTTTAAATAACCGACACTCAATCTTCTAAAAATTCTGTCTGAGGAAAACTTACTTACATTATGAATATGGAGTAAATAATGGTAATTCGACCCCGTGGAAGTGGCTTGATGAGTAATAAGTGTAAAGGTTTCAGTTGGAAAAACTAAAGAATGGTGTCATCTGAACATTTGCCATGGAAATATAGATAGATAGATAGATAGATAGATAGATAGATAGATAGATAGATAAAAAATATTACCAGCAATAAAAAAAATTCTCGGCATTAAATAACCCATTGAGGTGTTGATATGCCGTAAAACAAAACAAACCAAACCAAACTATGTCATCATGTTTTATAAAATTGTTAAATTTGTATTAATATAAGAAGTGGGAGATCGGTTTTCTCTTGATATTAAGTAATAAACTGATCCCCCTTTAGATTACTGCACAATATAACTTTTGGGAAAAAACACAACATTATAAGCAGACAGTTTAAATGAACATTAAATAGAAGCAGAAAATAGGTTAATTGTTTTATTATTGCATGGAATGATATTTGTACAAAATACAAATGGAATTATTATTTTTTTTTTTTTTTGTCAGACCAATGTTACGATATTCTAACAGCATTAATGACTGAGAACGAAGCCTCCCTTTTGTGGGTAAATTAAATAACTTTCTGATTCTTGTCTCGTTTCTTAGTTGTTCCGTCCAAGGGGTAGTCAGTATCTTTCTGTCGAATCACAGGAAACAGGTTCATAAAATATATCTCTGATTCATTTTGCTAATTACCTATGAATAATTATCAGGCCTCGTGAGAGTAGAGAGCATTTTTATCAAGAAATATCTAAACTCTTTTAAACCCAAATACTGCACCTTAACATTGTTTGACTATTGTCTACCGGATAGCTATGAGTACCATTTCACTGAGTGACCCATATTTCTAACATTTTCTCTAAACTAATTTAAACTTACTTATATTATTTACACTATTCAGACTGTTATCCTAATCTTCATTGCCCTATCCACAACGTTTCGGTCGTAGTACGCTCAGGCCTGCTTCAGGTGATTGGAATTTCGAACCGAAACATTTATTTCGTTCACAGGGGTAGACTGATCTAGTTCCACGTGCCATGCCTCTTCTTTATGTCTCAGTTATTTCCCTTTAACTCAACTCTCCAAGCCTGCATGGCCCAGTGGTTAGATCCAATGACTAGACCCGAAGAGTTGCGAGTTCAATTCTAGGCCACAGCAGTGTTGAACCAAACCAATACCTCATCTCAGAGATATTGACAGATATTAATTTTATCTGGGCTGGAGCTGTCCAAACACCACTTTTTGACTTTGACAAAGTTCAAAATCGTTTCCGTGGCCTTGTGATGTGGCTCCTCTCTCGCAAATATAACGTCTAAAGCATTTCGCTATTCTATCGTTACTTCCATGGCTAATGTTCGGACGAGATCTTTTCCTTAGTTATAGCAGCGTAGACCTAGCTACCTCCTCAGTGTTGAATCATTCCCGTTTCCCCCGTATTCCTTTGGTAAGAAAGACGCTCTATTTCGGAAGCTTTCCCCTAAGAACTGCTACTAAGTGGAACTGACTACCCCATGGACGCCCCCAGGAACACTAGAAGCTTAACCTCTTAAAGTCTAGGATCAATCGTTATCTATACACGGTATCATCGTAATCATCACGTCCCGCTTTCTACTCATACGTTCATATCAGATAATTCATTCAATAATATTCTACCCTGAATGGCTCTTGGGCATTGTGTTGAGCAAAATTTAGTTTAAAAATGCAAGAATAAATACTAATGGTGATGAAATATATTTACATGCATGGAAGGAGTGTTTCTTTGTTTTTCGTTGTTTTTTTGTTTTTTTGTTTTTTGTTTTTTTTTCAGTATGAAATTCCAAAGAATATATATTGTGTTTGGGGTTTGCTTAATCGAAAACGTCTGTTTGTGTGTGTATGTGTGTGTGTGATTTGTTCTTTTTTTCTTTTCTTTTTTTTCTTTTTTAACTGATGATGAATAAGAATACATTGTCATTGTTATTTTTAAATTTTGTCCTGAATGTGCTTAGAAAACGAAAAAAGTCAAATTTAAATGTCTAGCCTTCAGATAAGGCAGAAATTACGGTAATACCAACGCCCTTCTTTTTTTTTTTTTTTTACATCAAGCCTACGTTAATGTTCTAGTTGAAGATGATTGTGTTACACTTCTAAACTTCTGCTTCACCTGTGTGAATACATTCTCCGTTGTAAGAAAACAGATGGCGAGCCAAAGTCCGTATGTTGCATTCAAAATCACAAAGACAATTCGAAGTTCTTTCGAATTCGAAAGCGAAGCAACATATCCAAAAATCCAAGTAATTCCTGTAAGGAGACACAGTTTGGCATTAATAATAATAATCTTTATATTGTCTTTTCTGGAATTCTGAACTGAGAACTTGCGCATATTATAAATAGTCACTGCGGTGTGTATATAAGCCAAGAAATTAACCAAAATTATAATGGCTAACGGAACTGCGAAATACAGAAGAATCCCAATATTATTATTAAGCCAACAGACACCATTGTACCCATAACCGGGAGCCAATTTGGACTGAGGTCGATGTTTATCGAGCAGAAATGCTGGAATAATAATAAACAATGGAGCCAGCCAGGCGTATAGACTATAGAAGAAAAATCGTTTCCAACCTTTTCTCGACATCATTTCACACGGATTCCGACAGACAGTCATCCAAACATTAATAGTAACGACATTTAACCAGAAGAAAGACGCCAGAAATGCATAGTGCATCGTCAAAGCAACGGAGAGACAAGCGTCCTGTGGGGTTGTGTAACGTGAGACCAAAAAGAGAATTTGTGCGAGAAACAGCGAGATTGAAAAAGAGAGGTAAATCAAGCCAGTGAGATTCCATATTGCCGGCATGAACATATACACAACGATCAGAAATGCAAGAGCTGACAATGATATACCCATTCCAATAAATGTCAGGCAGGTTTCGAGTAGCGATCCTGTTCGCGTGCGATGGTGACAGACAAATACGTCACTATTGTTCTTTATAATATATGAATCCTCATCATAAAATCTCTTTGTAGAATTGTGATAGACAGTTTGATTGGGAAGCATGATGTATTCGTGTTTCTGTAATCTATGTAGAGAGCAGTTTAAGACCGGGTTATTCGATGAAGGGGGTTCAAATGCGAAAACGTGATGGCATTTTCCTTTAACGTAATCGAACCACTCTCCATGGGGGCACGAAACAAGTTTTTCATCGTTCAAACGAACATCTCCTCGGTTGAAATTAATGAGTATAAAATATGACGGCGAAATATAAGTGTTCGCCGTGGTTAGATCCTCCGGTAGTATTTCGCACATAAGTGTTTCATTTTCTTGTCTGTTACACTGAAAACAGTAAATATTTTTGTAATAATTCTGCATGCTGCTAAAGACGACACCGTATTTCCCATTTTCGCATTTTCCGTCAGAGGAATTACTGCAACGTTTGACCAAAGATTCGCTACAAAAGTGGGATGAATTTGGATAAGGGTTTTGCAAACTTAGAGAACATTGAGTATAATTTACCTTGTCGATTGTCATATCATTGGAGTATGTTCTGTTAGGGCACTTAAACCTCTGGTTCCAATATATATAGTCGGTTTCTCCATTGCATAAAGCACAGTAGACGTTCCGATAGACGAGTTGTTTATTACGTCCACTAACAGGAATGGATGATATCAAATCAGGTGAGTATTTTTTACAATTGTTTATAATGTGCTGATTCCCCGTATAATTAGACGGACAGGAGATTATCATCATGACGGGGTCATCATTTTTTGTTGGAAATCGGCATTCGGTAGTTAGGGCTTTGATACCAGAAAGAATATTTGGTTTATAATCCCAGCAACAGTCGTTGTAGTAAAGACAAAGATCATCACAAAAGCAGCCATGTTTCTGATAATGTATATTCACGTTTCTGGTTGACATTCTGTGACAGGTATGGTTCCTACAATCTATTATCTGAGTTGCTTCTTGACCTTCAACTCCAGTAAAAATCGGTGTCACTATGGCTCCAACAAATATTAATAAACGAATAATGAATCCCATTTTAGCGATAGAAATGGCGACAAACTGAAAGGAAATATATTAAAATTTTAGTTTTTTTTCCTACCTCCAACAGAGAAGAGCTCTGGCGTTATCAATGACTGACACGGGATAAAATGAAAAACTTCAGAGAGATATGAGTAAAAACAACAGGATGGGTAAATATGATATTTCTAATATTTTTAATTCTTGGAACCCCAGATCGGAAATATTTCCAGAGGATTGACAAAGGAATAATAAGAGTTGTAAAGGAAGTGCTTAATCTGTAGGTTGAAGTGTTTGCCGATCCTCTCAAAATCTATTTACGGCCCTGTACACTTGTAGCAATATATATATATATATATATATATATATATATATATATATATATATATATATATATATATATATATATATATATATATATGTATGTATGTATATATGTATGTATATATGTATGTATATATGTATGCATGTATATAATGCCTTAATTCGACTGTAAATAATGGAGTTTAGCAAAACGTAGTTAAGCTTAACGTGGGTGGTTATTTAAGTTAATTATACCAAAACATTCAAATTAAAACATTTAGGATCGGTATTTACTGCTCTATGCTCGTGTGTATGTACTGAACATCCAAAATATAATTGCACTGACCGCCCTGCGAGCATACACAAAATAAAAGTATCTTCCATCTAGTCAGTCCCCTATATCAACTCTTTCAGTTTCTCTTTATTTATATATATATATATATATATATATATATATATATATATTAAAAAGAATAGAAGAGAGGTGCCGCTAACGTTTTTGATTGTAATGTGGATTTATTTAGAAAAAATATTATGCTTTGTTTTACATAATTTTACGACACGAGTTTCTGGTCTCGCGTCCGTCTTCAGGTAAAAGTGGAGATTTCCACATATTATTAAAAATAATTAATTTTTCCTCGTGTTCAATGTTAAATATTCTCGATATGAGACATTTTCTGTTTGTGTGTTGGTAATCTGAATTACTTTCTTGATATATATACACACACACATATATATATATATATATATATATATATATATATATATATATTATTTCTTGATATATATATATATATATATATATATATATATATATATATATATATATATATATATATAAAACAGCGTAACATTTATTTCTCTTGTTGTTTTTTATGAAAGTGATCGGAATTAGAGGAAAACATTTTTGTAATGTTTATTTTGTTTATCTTTCACTTGTGGCTCATAATTGCCGATTTCTTTATTATTATTTATATTCAAAGATTCTTTAACAGCATTTAGCTGAATTTTATTATTTTTACTTTTTCTTGTTTATTATTTATTTATTATTATTTATTATTTATTTATTATTTATTAATTGCAAACTAACGTAATTTCAATTTTGTTGAAAAAGCGTTCCCAGTTATAACATTATTTTGTTTCGTTTTTACGAAATCAAATCTGTATTATTATTTATCTTTCAAATATTTTTAAACAACAGCAATAATAATAATAATTATTATTATTATAAATATTATTATTATTATTATTATTATTATAGTAATAATAATAAGATTTTCTCTTATACTTTATAATAATTTATACTTTGAAGCTATATATTGTTCATTGATGACAATCTGTTTACTCCGACATCCAGTGTATTTTCTATGCGTGTAGGCTGAGGTGGATAGAAGTAGTACATTTGTTACTCGGCTGCTGTTTTTATTATTAAGATGGACGGGCAACACTGATCTTCACCCATTCCCTCAATCTCCACGCACCAAACCTTGTAAACCGCTTAAAAAGGTATGCAGCCGACAAGTAAATGGAATTTCACCTATTATGTCGTCTGACGGCAACACACTCCACGCAGACAAGAAAGAAATTCTATCACGGTAGAAAGAACACTTTGAAAATATCCTTAATTCCACCTCTGCTATTGATGACAACGTCATTGCTTAATTCATCAGCGACCAGAAATTTCCCAGTTGTCTCTTGAGTCATGCCTAAAGGAAATTCAGGATTCTGTCAAGCAATTGTCCCGAACAAAGCCTCTGGAAAAGATGTTATACCCCCCTCCGAAATTTTTAAATATGGTGGGAAGACTCTGGCTAAGAAAGTCCTTGAGCTTTGTAAAGCCATATGGAAGGTTGGTTGTGTTTCACAGGACTACAAAGATCCTTGCATAAAATATCTGTTCAAGAACAAAGGCAAAAAGTTTGTATGTGATAATTCCCGTGGCATTTCACTCCTAAGTATCGCTGGCAAAATTCTTGCTCGTGTTATTCTCAACAGAATAATCAAATATCTCATTGATGACATCTATCCCGAATCTCAGTGTGGTTTTCGTTCACGTTGTGGAGCCATTGATATGATTTTTTCACTTCGTCAGGTTGCTGAGAAAGTTCGCTATACCGTCTTTATCAAATTGACCAAAGCGTTTGACACTGTGAACAGAGGTGGCCTCTGGAAAGTACCCAACAAGCTTGGCATACCTGAAAGTATGATAAATGTCATCATCTTGTTTCATGAAGGAATGAAAGCATCTGTTCTATCTAATGGAGAGTTTGCAGAAACCTTTGATGTAACAAATGGCACAAAACAAGGTTGTGTCATGGCTCCTGTACATTTCGCTCTCTTCTTTTCGGTCATGCTACACCATGCTTTTTGTGATCTTGACATGGGTGTGAAATCTGAATTCTGCACAAGTGGCGGTCTCTTTAACCATCAATGTTTTAAATCAAAATCGCTGACTTAAGCAAACATTATTTGTGACCTTCTGTTTGCTGATGACGCTGCAATCATGGACACCACAATCGAAAAAGCTCAAGCAATCGTCAATCGTTTTTCCAACACTTGCAACGCATTCGGATTAACTATAAGCATAAAGAAAACTGAAGTTGTCCATCAACCAAGGCCGACACCTAAGCAGATCAGGGGTGTAAAACAAAAACCATCTGCCTATACCTTTCCAATCGTTCCAATTACTGTTGGCAGCATCAACCTGGTGTATATAAAATCATTCTCGTACTTAGAAAGCAAAGTCAATTCAAGTGCCTCTTTGGATGACGAGATAGTTAACCGAATATCAAAAGCAACCAATGCCCCTGGGAAACTTAAGCATCGTCTGTGGGATGCTCATGGGGTTTCACTGAAAACGAAAATCAGTGTCTATCGAGCAGTCATTCTCACCACACTTCTTTAGGGGTCAGAATCGTGAACGCCATACACGACACACATCAATCAACTTTTCATAAACGCTGTCTTTGTTCAATATTCGGTTATAAACGGCAGGACAAAATCTCTAACCCTAATCTTTTCACCAAATGTAGCATCGGTGGTATTGAATTCTTCCTGATGCAATCAAGTTCAGATGTCTTGGTCATATCATCAGAATGAATGATGATCTGATGCTAAAAATCCTCATGTATAGCCAACTTTTTCTTAGTAAGCGTAATTTAGGCCGTCTTTGGTTACACTTCAAGGATAAATTTAAATACAATATAATAAAACATCTCTATAGAGGAGTTCGAATTTGCTATTGAAAACCGAGCAAACTGGAGAAATACATGCTACCAAGGTATAACTAACTTTGAAAAGAATCATCTCAACCATCTGAGAGAATTAAGAATTAACACTAAATCTCGGGCCAATACATCAGCCCACATGAGAGTCAACCCTTCAGTATCCCCTTCGCGTGGATTTGTTTGCAAATCCTGTGCAGGATTATTGTCTCATACGAAACACAAACAAACACACACACACATATATATATATATATATATATATATATATATATATATATATATATATATTAGAATCGTCAGACATTTTGTGTCGATTAATTCTAATGATCGACTTTTTCAAGTTATGAATAATGCATCGGGATTTCCTCATTGTCCGCGAATGAAAGGTCGATCATTAAAATTAATTGACAGAAAATTTTTAGTATTTGGCCTGATGTTAGTTTTTCATTGGTTTATCAGAAATGAAGTCTGTTTAAACAGATTAAATATGTTTCGATTGTTAACTAATTTCCATTTCAGACAAAGACGTGGCCTCAGATCCATCCTGCATTACTAGGTAGCTAGGGTGATAAATATAAAGAGGTCTGCTCGATATTAACATAGATAGATAGATAGATAGATAGAACAGGGATAGATACATAGATTAATAGATGAACAAACAGCGATAGATAGATATTTTATAAAAACTTGTACGTATATCAAATTAATTTTAAGGAAGGGCGTGCGTGTGCGTGTGTATATATATATCTATCTATCAATATATCTATCTATCTATCTATCGCATCGTTAAATATTTGAGGTTAACAACTTTAACAAATATTGCAATGACAATCATCAATATAATTGCTGGTCGTTATTTTAAGGGAGATCAAATGATAGCAAGTTTTCGAAATGCTCCAGCACCCTCCCCAGTACTCTAGCTGTTGCCCGGAGTGACATTTTCTAGAAGTCTCGTTTTCCCCCGGATCTTCAGTTCGTCTTCACTCTTCTGAATGTCATTTCCGATGATTTCTTGTGCGCCCAAAACGACTGACATGGGAAATTGATAGTTAAACAGAAATTATATGTTCAAGAAACACTGGAAAATTAGGTAATACATTTAATAATTGATTTTAACGGGATAGGATAGCGGAATTTCTACAGATATTTTAATGTCGTAATGTGCTTACTCAATCATTAACGGAAGAATTAAGATTTATCAAAAATTTCAAATAGTAAAACAGTGAAATTTTCACGGGTTAAAACTAGTCTTTATAGAATTTTCCTAAACGAACAATTTCTGTATAAAAAAAGATAGAATCTGTCTATATTTCTGAGATGAAGTATTATGTACATTATTTACATTATTCGCCATATTTATCCATATTTATGTTCAGTTCGACATTCCAACCACCTGAAGAAGGCCGGAGCGTACAACGGCCGAAACGTTGTGATGAATATAAGACAAAGATGAGGACAATAGTCCGAATAATGTAAATAAAAGGATAGAATTTATTTATTTTGTCAAATATTGGCAAGAAACACGGAGCTTAAATAAAATACATGTTTTAATTACAATATTGACTTTGGTCATTAAAAAAAGAATTGTGGGTAGATATGTAAGGGACACTAACTCTATTTTAGAGAACACCTTTTAATAAAGAATACCTTTGTTCATCTCACCTGTCATCCTATACAGTTCAGGTGTTTTTCTTACTCTCGTAGTGGATATCGTTGCACCTGCTGATGTAAATGAAAACTAGGATTCTCTTGAAGTTTCACCAAGAAATGAGGAATTTTGACTTACAAGTTGATATCTTGGTGAATCTGTGGAATGAGCACAGGTCTTGATTCAGACGTTTTTTTTTTTTTAATTCATTGTCCAAATTTAACTTCGTATCTCCATGTTTCAATTTGTCTTTTTTCGCTTAGTACAAATTTCATCAATATGACGCCCCACTTTTTTCCCCCAGAGTCCAACTGAATCAAATAAGATGAGAGCCCTGTTTTAATTATGACCGACAATCATAAACAATCCGGTGCTGCATAAAGGTTTCTTTGCCGACGCAGAATAGCCATTTTGAAATGCACCGGCAGAACCTGTTTAGTCGTAAATGTTTTCTGAATACTTTGCTATCTCCACAAACATTCCCGTGTTAAGGTTCTATAAGAAATCTCCAAGTCCTATACAGATTTTTTTTCTTCTTGTTCAACAGTACTTCAGCTGATAACATTCATGTAACCGTTTGTGGATTCGGACTGTAAGGCAGCTGTCAGCTGATATCTGTTTAAGGTGACCTCTGCAGGATGTTACAGAAATCGTTTTGACAATTATCGTCTTGACAAAGCTCAACTAAGTGAAGCGAACCCCACAAGAACCAGATCAAACGACCCTGACAAATTAGGTCAGCTGAGTGGAGGGGAGTTGAAAAATGACTCTTTTTAGACGAAAGCTGACAGGACAAAGAACGTTTGTTCTTTATAAGACAGTGGTCCCTAGCAGCCTAAAACAGAAAACCATTCGCTCGGGGTGCGAAAAGAAAGACACGCGTTGGCTTACTCCACATGCTCATCCAGATTTAGTCCTAATGAGAAGGTTGCAACAGAATAAAATTTGGCAACTGCTACGATCTTGTCTCATGGTTTTATTTCTGGATAACAATATGAGCAAAGAGTTATGTCCCATGTATTAATCCACATGCATTCGACTAGAAGAAGCTGCACCATGAGAATGAACTTGATATCTGGTCTGAGCTGCAATGCCATAGGGCTTTATTATTGGTGTCACGACCAATGTCCATCAGTTGGGTTTCGGATGCTATTATAAATCCTAGAAACACACACACACATAAATATATATATATATATATATATATATATATATATATATATATATATATATATATATATTAAGAAATGGACAATAAATTGTCGGAAAAGTCCGACAATTTATTTATTAAAGACATTTTTTTATGTTTAACGTTCTTTTTATAGATACAAATATTTAAGTAAACGCTCTGTTTATAATAAACAGTATTAAATAACATTTAGCGGCCTGAATGTCCGAGAAATTTTCATAGAAAATATTCGTCCTTTGACAGGATTCGAACCTGCATCCTATACGGAACAATTCGTACAATTCGGATACTGTTTATTATAAACAGAGCATTTACTTAGATATTTGTATCTATAAAAAAGAACGTTAAACATGAAAAAAATGTCTTTAATAAATATATATATATATATATATGCAGCAATTTTTCATTAATGCATGTTTCATTAAATAATATAGACAAGTTTTTTTTTTATTTTAAGTAAGTTCCTTCCATATTGTTTGATAAGCTTAATAACATTATCATTGAAAGACGAAAGGAAATCACCATATTGATACATCTTCAAATCCAATCTAAGCTTTCGGCTTACATAAGCCATCATCAAAAAATGACAATTACATTTCAATATATCATATAAAACACGGACGAAACAATAATGATAGTCTGTTTTTGTTGCATGAAAAATTTCAAAGCAACGATAAATTCGTGTATACGAGACGCGGAAGCGAAAATCGCGTCGCAGCTCGTGACGTCAGACATGACCACGCGAGAGTGAAAACGAAAAGTATTAAGTATTTGAAGCCGTTGGTATAAACCAATGGCTTCTGTTATCAATTATAGGCATTTAAAAATATTTGCGAAGATTTCATAGTTTATTTTGTTTAGGCTAGGTTTCAACTGTTTTATGTATATAGCTTCAAGAATGTTTAGTTATATACATATATAATGGCCGGCTATTCGTTTCCAAATACACAAGTCTCGAACCGCAACTAGCCAGTACCTGTTGCGGCTCACAGTGAAACACCTGTTCCCGTACAATCCCCGAACTTAAGTAACGTAGAGCCTGGTCAGTACCTTCATGGGTGACCACATCGGAATATCATGTGCTGTAAGCTTAGATGAGCGGATGGTTTAATGGATAATGGTTTGGGATTGTTTAAGGGAGAGCTGAGTTCCATTGCAGTTGGATTCGTTATATTCCCTTGCGCGCAAATACCCTTGAGAAAGGTACGTATTCACATCTTCTCCCCTCTCTATGGGTTAATTAGTAAGACTTCTCTAGAATATAATTGTATAAGAACTACAATGGCCACAAAGTGAGGGATCGGTTTATATATTGATTGTAATATAGAATTGATCCCCCACTTTATATCTACATTTTAATTTTGTGTTTGTTTATTAAATTCGTACAATCTAAAAATATTTTCTGGCTTTAAATAACCTGCAAGGTGTTGATAAGCCGTAAAAAAAACGAATCAATTATTCAATCTGTCAATCCCTGCTGCAGACGTCTGCTCAGGTACATTTGTGTTTGTTCAAAACCCACAGAGCTCACCTGTGGTTTATACTGAAACTATGCTGAGCGGACCTTAGTTTCGGTTTCTGGGAGAGAGTGCATAATCTGACCTGAGCAAATGTTTGGGAAATGCCAGTTTGTTCAAACCCTCGGTTTATAATGACTTAAAACTTCGAGTTAGCAAAACCATGGAAAGTCTCCGAACAATTCCGTCAACCAAATTTAATTCTAAAAGCGGGTATGGCTTCCAGGCACTTTCCAAAAGATACCACACTCTATGGCCGCTTCCCTATGCCGATAATATTAATAAGCCAGCTTCTTGACATATCAAACATAGTGAAATTCGGAACCTGATCTCAAATTCCTTGCTCGCAAATAAAAAACAACAATTTTGCTTGCTTTAGTATTGCCAGAAATCTGCATATTTAGCTAAGAAATAAGTAAAATCTAGTTGTTGCTACTAATCTGGCAAAATAGTCTTCCTAGTGATATTGGTGACAGCTGATATCTTGTTAAATCCAAACATCTGAGCTGTCACAAAAATTGGTGCAAGAGCATGACAAAGGATCATGACAAAGAGAGTCACTGAATGAAGCCAGATCTTAATAAATTAATTTTTTAGACAAAGATAACAAAACAAAGAACACTGTTCTCTACAGGTGGTCACTACGACAGAGAAATAGAGAGACCTAAGGAAAGTCACGAAGAGTGAGAAGAGACCACCGCCTTCCCGCTACGCGAAAAAGAAGACACGTCCATTAAACTGTTGACCACTTTATCACCTCGCTAGTGTTCAGCAGTAGGTTACGACCAGAATAAAATTTGCTTACTGTTACAAAAATATCTGGGATTTTATTTCGTGGGTAACGATCTGGCCAAATAGTTATTTTTAACCTACAAGCATTTGACTGGTAGAAGCTGTACCCTGAGAACGAACCTGATGTCTTGTCTTAACTGCAATGCTAGATGTTGCGAGGTAATTATCCGGGTAATTTTTTAAAAATTGCCCATCCCATTATTAACACAAATTAGTAGAACCACATATAGCACGTATTAGTTCTTGTCCGGCATTGACGGAATTATAAGAGGGTTGACCGCACATGTTTGTCCAGCTTATAACAATATCCTTATCTCCGAAATTCAGGCAAAAATCGTCAAGGTTTTTCTTTTTTTTTTTTTTTTTTGTTTTATTTTTGTTATTTTCCCGCTCGGATAAATTTGGTTGAATTCAGAATCCTTCTTTTTGTATGTGCTCTGTCACTTCCTGATTTTGGTGGTGGTGGTAGGGGGGTCATAATTGTCCACATCTTCCTATCCTTTGTAGACCCTAAAAGTTTTTTTTATTATGCTTTTCAATTCTTCTGTCATGTCTTTGCACGAGTTCTTTAGGTATGTTATTAGCTACTCTCCTCTGCCCCGCTAGCAGTCAGTACGCCCTGTGAGTGTCGAATTTTCCAATCTTTCTTTTCTCATTACATGCCCTACAAATGTTATTTGTCTCTTTCTGAATATGAATACAGGTGTCTTTTTTTGTTTCCATTTACTACCATAGAAGAAGACTGATATGAAATAACAGTCCATGACTCTTTTCAATTCTTTCTTACGAAATTTTCCTGTTTCCTAATACTTTGCTTAGCGTTTAGAATGTATCTTTTGCTATTCCAATGAGGGTTCAAATTTCGATGTCACATTTTCCGTCACTTGTTATTTAAATTTTCGCACTTGCTTTATTTTGGTATTTCCAATTCGTACTAAGGACCCTGGGCGGCTCCTTTTGCTGACAACCATACATTCTGTTTCAAGTGGGAATTTATGCAGATGCCACAGCTATTTACTCCTGTTTGAGTGGCAAGCCTAACAGGATTGACAATAACAACTAGTAACTGCTCTTGAAAAGGACCTCCAGTCAGTTGTTAGCGAGGGCAAAGAATGTGTTGAGGAGTAGCTGGACACCCCCACAAGATGGAGTGGTCTGAGACTGTTTAAATAACACTCTTTTTTACTGAGGGCGATGAGTTAACAATTACAGCTAACTCTGCTTATCGACTCTCTGCCTCCAGGAATCCAGACGAGGTTATGCTCAAGGGCAGTCTCATCTGGGGAGAAAGACAGCTACCCAATCCAGTGTATATAGGGTCTACTCATTCTCTTTCACTCCTAGTAACCCCCTTGCGTCTTAGTGGCATTATCGCCATCTTCTGTCTTCCTGAAACCTGTGCTTTTGTTGTCCATTCTCCTCACTAAAGTCTTCTCATTCTTTTTCAGTTCCAGTAACCACTTACGTCTTAGCGGCATTATCGCCATCTTCTGCCTTCCTAAAACTTGTTCTTTTATTGCCCCTTACTAAAGTCTTCTCATTCCCTTTCACTCCCAGTAACCCCTTGCCTCTTAGTGGCATTATCGCCATCTTCTGTCTTCCTGAAACCTGTTCTTTTAATGTCTTTTCTTCTCACTAAAGTCTTCTCATTCTCTTTCACTCCTAGTAACCCCTTGCGTCTTAGTGGCATTATCGCCATCTTCTGTCTTCATGAAAACTGTTCTTTTATTGTCCTTTCTCCTCACTAAAGTCTTCTCATTCTCTTTCACTCCTAGTAACCCCCTTGCGTCTTAGTGGCATTATCGCCATCTTCTGTCTTCCTGAAACCTGTGCTTTTGTTGTCCATTCTCCTCACTAAAGTCTTCTCATTCTTTTTCAGTTCCAGTAACCACTTACGTCTTAGCGGCATTATCGCCATCTTCTGCCTTCCTAAAACTTGTTCTTTTATTGCCCCTTACTAAAGTCTTCTCATTCTCCTTCACTCGCAGTAACCCCTTGTGTCTTAGTGACATTATCGCCATCTTCTGTCTTCCTGAAACCTGTTCTTTTATTCTTTTCTTCTCACTAAAGTCTTCTCATTCTCTTTCACTCCTAGTAACCCCTTGCGTCTTAGTGGCATTATCGCCATCTTCTGTCTTCCTGAAACCTGTGCTTTTGTTGTCCATTCTCCTCACTAAAGTCTTCTCATTCTCTTTCCCTTGCAGTAACCCGTTGCGTCTTAGCGGCATTATCGCCATCTTCTGTCTTCCTAAAACTTGTTCTTTTATTTCCCTTACTAAGTATTCTCATTCTCTTTCACTCCCAGTAACCCCTTGCCTCTTAACCGCATTATCGCCATCTTCTGTCCTCCTGAAACCTGTTCTTTTATTTCCCATTCTCCTCACTTCTTCTCACTAAAGTAGTCGCTTTCACTCTTAAGTAACCCAGTGCGTTCTTGTGACATTATCGCTTCGATTGGAGTGAAGTGATTAAAATAAAAATAATTCATGTTTAGTTCTTTCTTCTCGCTTTCATTTACGACTTTCCTGAAATTTCATTTCTGTCTCTTATCAACTCTGTTTTATTTGTATATCTTTATCTTATATATTATATATTATTATCTCATATTTTATTATATTTTATTATCTTTTATTATTATATATTATATCTTTTATATTATATATTATTATCGTATATTATTATATATTATATATCTGTGTTATTTGTATATCGAATTTTGTTCAGGCTGTTACCACTTTCCATAAAACTTACCGTTGTGTCTTGGGTGTTTTTTTTTGTTTTTTATTATTATTATTATCGTTGTTGTTGTTGTTATTATTATTATTATTAATACCATGTCCCTCCCCAATTTTATGTCCTTTGTAGCACTTAATAAATTTTGGCTTTTTGTCTCTCCAAAACCTTGTTCCATCATCCATTTACACAAGCTCATTTCCTCGTCTTTTATGTGGCTTGTCCCTTCAGGACATCGGCGATCATGGCTCTCGACTATTTCCCGTCCTCTATAGCTCTTAATAAATTTGTCTCTTTGATATGTCCTTTTCTTCTTTATAAGCAGTCAAAATTGAATATCCCTTTACTTATGAAGTATTGGCCGGACGTAACGTTCGTGCTAACTAAGGTCAGGACAAGCAAAATTATATGTATATGTATATATTGCTTAAGAACTCCGATAGGGAAAGAATACCCACTATCGGAGAGATTGTGTCTTCAAAAGCCTTATCGCCATTATTGAGCTGTAAGTTAAATTTTAAACAGGTATCTTCCTTTCTTATGTATTTAACAGTGATCAAATATAATCATTTTAAGAACTTCTTAATACATATCGAAAATAACAGTTTTTTTTTAGTTTCTCATTTACTACCCATTTAATGCATAGCAAAATTTCCAAATGGGCGCTTAATTATGTGACGCATTCATTTTGAAAAAAAATATTTCGTGGGAGTGTCCGAGATAAAAAAATAATGCCTATTTTGAAAAACGCCTATTATTGAAACAGGTTTCATATGGATAAGTAAATAAAAATCATATAATATATATATATATATATATATATATATATATATATATATATATATACTGTTGTAACCTAGCGGAATTTACTGAATAGATTAATCACACGAAAGTTAGTAATGAACGATACTACTTAGGACACGAACAACGCATAAAATTCGCCAGCGACGCGTAGAAGAAGTAGTCAACTGCTCAAAGTGAGTCAAGTGAATTCCACAATAAATCTCCAACTGCATGATATCTACCAACCGCCCCAGATGTGACACAAGGCCGAATTTAATGTGAGGTATCTGAGCCCGTAGGCTCGGCCCCAAATTCCCTGTAGACCCCGTATAAAACGGGGTCGAATAGCTGTTTCCCGAGATGAAACTCTGCCCTTCACCATAGCCTCGTTTGGGGATCCTCTCTGCCCGGAGTCAGAGAATTTGACCAGCAAAAATGGAGACGAATCTCCAACTGCAGACCAACATACAGTATTTACTACTGTATTTATGTGAATGGGGGCATACCCATTATCGTTAGTAAGTATGCATAACAATATATATATATATATATATATATATATATATATATATATATATATATATATATATATATATATATGTGTGTGTGTGTGTGTGTGTGTGTGTGTGTGTGTGTTCCGGCAACTTTTTGTTATATTTCTGTTTTGATGCGAAATGTTTTGTTGAACAACTCGAATCTGATTTCCATTATAGAAAATTACCTGTTCAAAGCTTTTCGCAGTAATCCAAAATGGACTAATAACGGGTCAGTGCAGGTCAGGTGAAGATGGGTTCTGGGAGTAGAACTGACAAACCGAGTTCCAAGTATTTTTTTTTTGTCTGTTATTCTTGCTGTAAGGTGTCTTGAGTACAAAAGATTTGACTGTCAAGTACAGAAACATATACGACCAAGCTTGGACATGTTACAGCTGCTGGTCTTATAAATGTGCATTTTGTGTTTCATTGCAATTTTAAGAACTATAAAGGAATAATGCTCTAACGATACCGCCACACTGATAACATTATTTTTCTTCTATAATATCGATTGTGAAGATTTATCATTGTCAGTCCACTACATTTTGCATTGAATATTTTTGTATGCAACTCAGATTTCATTGATGATATATTATTGATACCCTGCACCGATAATTGATTTTATTTTTTGAAAAAACATTTCATTTTAAGCCGATTTTTTTATTTGTTTTTAATACAGTAAATAAGAAACTGAGGTACCTTGAAGTACCCAGGCGGTGGCTAACACCTCTACCAGACGTATGAGTTGACAACTGGATCCGTTTCAAGCTCAGAAGGGTATAAAACGAATCAAGATCGACCTATAAACACAACTGTAGCTGGTTTTAGAGCGTTATGCTTTGGATGTGTTTATTCGTCCGTGTTTAAAAAAGATACTTTCAGTAAAAAACGTTTACGACGGGGAAGGGTTTAAAGAATGGTTAGGACGATACATTCATCATTATAATTAGATCCTCAAATGGATATTACTTATGGCTCAACGTAATATAGTAATATATAGTTATGCATTTTACATTATCTTCTACAGAAGGTAGTGGAGGAAATCGAGAAGAAAGGACTAATGATCACCTGCAAGAAAGCAGAATGTATAGTTGTATATTAGTCAGGAAAAGAATAGTCACAAAATGCAAGTTACAAATTGGAGATACTAAAAAAAAAGAGAGCAAGTTAAAGATCTGGGATGTGTTTTAACAGAGGACAGTGCTATTTACATTGTTTACATTGTTCGAACAGTTA